ACTTGCAATACAGTTGCAAATAGTTTTCTGCTGGGATTCTTAGGTTGTTTGAGTACCGTTTCTGCTTTCATTGCTGAGTTCAATGCAACATAGGACAATAATTATTTATTAGTAGATCTAATTTTGGAGTTAAAATATTATTATTGTTTAGGCCACAGCATAGAGTATAGTATAATATTAAATGCTATTTTTGATGAGTTCAGTTTGTTTTGTTTCAGGTAAATACCAGGACTTGCAATACAGTTACAAATGGTTTTCGGTTGGGATTTTTAGGTTGTTTGAGTACCGTTTCTGTTTTCATTACTGAGTTCAATGCAACGAAAGGAAGTCATCAGCCTTGGAGAGCATATGCTTAGGCCTTGTCTACAACGAGCTCCCTCATCTGCTTCGGGGGGGGTTTTATCTAGGATTTACCTGTGTGAATACAAGGCTATATGCAAAACTTGATGGGCATCAAATGCTAGTTAATTTCCCTGTTGAATATGCTTATAAGCAATGCCAAAAAGGAAAACATATTGCAAGTTCATTTGTTATAAAAGTCAAGGGAAAATGTTAAATGTGCAATTTAACCCCGAAATCATAGCTAAAATAAATTATTGGGCAAAGTGCACTTAACGCCCCTTTCTGGATTCAGGTGGGTGCGCTTTACCCCCAAATAAAAAAAATGTGCTCTTCAACCCCACATGGTTTAAGTACAGTCAAGGTAAGTGCGATTTTCCCTAAATTATTTTCTTTATTTATAAACTTTACATTAGCTTAAAAAATTTCAAGCCTAACCATTTTGTGATACAATTCCTTCTTGATATATAAAAGGTGAGTTGTTTACATTGTGAATGTGTGGTTCACTTTTTTTCTTTTGTTTAAATGGTTAAAGTATTCTCAAATCAATATTTTACGCACTTTAAATAATTTTAAAAATACATCATTTGTATTAATTTAGTGTACTTTGAAAATTAATTTCTTTTAATTTTAGCCCAAAGCTTGAATTTGAACCTAGTCTACTTGCTTATCAATAAATGAAACCATTAGAATTTGTGTTATCAACATTTTAAATCAAGGTTTTATCATTTAATAAATAGTAAAAAGTTTTGTTTTGTCGTTGCATTAAGGATCCATAATTAAATAAAATTTTATTCATTTTTTATTCTACATTCTCTAATTTTTCCTCCATCTATGTACCATACTTTCTTGCTATGCCATGCCCTGTAAATTGATAAACCATCTCACTAAACCAAACATGACCTAAGTTTTCAGGAAGGAGGATCATACTTGATAATATTTTTATATTTATTTATATCAGTTTCTACACTCATATACGAATTAATTTTGTTTATTTGATGGAAATACATTAGCATAAAACATCCTCAAGCATGAATGAATGACCAGAAGGCAGAAAGGACTTTTCAAGCCAACAAAGTTTGGAAGGCTTGTTGAATTGGAATGAGTATTCATATATGTTAATATATACCAAAAACAGAAATTGTCATCTAGACCAAAATCCAAGTTTGACCATCCATATGAGACAACTGATCTGTTTATCAAACAAATTGTCTTTTCAAGGGGAAGATACTCTGAAGAATTGGAGAAAGCTACTTGAATGCTGCAAATTCGCCATTGAGTAGAGTGATGAGGTTTTGGGTCTCTCTTCGTATGACAACCATGAAGATACAAATCAACTATACAAAATTGTTAGCATCGTTGGTGAGACCTGCAAATATGCACAAGCTATTTGTTTAATGTCACTACCAAAATTTTGCATCTGATTCCCAAAACAAATAGCTTCAATTAGATTATTGAATCCATAAATCTATTGAAGATGATATAGATGACAGCGGAAAGACGTTGATTGCACTCGAAAGACAAAAAGGATGATTTTTGTTGATTACCGCGTGTAAATACAACTTTATCCGAGATACCGGAGCAAGACACCGTCATTTCCCAACACAAATCCCTTCTTTTCGTTGATAAACCTGCATGGAAGAGATCAGGGTATTTTAATAGCTTTTATACACATCAAGTTTCAAGTGACAGAGCAGATCGGGTATCCAGGATAAACAAAGACACAGCAATAGCTGTAAAGTCCATCTATAGCCTTTTTTGTAACTGAATCTATGACCTTTAATACTAAACCTCTTTTCTTCTTTTCCCTCCAATTGATTCAAAGTGCAAATTATTTGTGTACTGGACAAAAGAAAGTGTAAACTAATTGCACTCTAGGAACCATGTCACTACGTCTACTAACAATGTGGATGCACCAAGCTGATGTTGGGGATTCATCCTTAAGATTGCCTAGGAATGGATTAGTTTTAAGGTGCTTGCAAGCTAGCTCGGGCTGCACCACACTAATTGTCCAAACCTATAATAATAATAATAATAATAATATGGGTAAAATGATAGTGGGACCTAGGAAGTTATGTAGAAGATTTATCATCTTGAGGAGTGCCATAGGCACTCGACGGGGGCCCAGGCAATTCTCTTCCCATTGGTCTTCTCCATTTTTTTTTTTAAAAGAAAATTACAGGGCCAATAATTTTGTGAGTACACAACACATTCTCCAATCATCTTTTAGGCGACATTTAAATGGTTTGAGGATGAGACTCACACATATATAAGTGAACAGGAAGGGATAAGAAAAAAAAAAAAAAGATAAGGGCAAATCATCAGGGAAATGCAAGCTACCCTATGAATTCAAACTATATAAGGCTAATCTTAGTATAATGCATTACTCAACCTATATCATTTCTCTTTTTCTCATTTTATGGACATAATCGTTGCACCCTCCCTCTAAACAACAACTCACAGGTGGTGACATATCCAAAGTTTAATCAAATTGCAAACAAATTACTAAATCAGGGAAACAACATTTTGATACCATGACAGTATCATCTGCAACTAACTAAAACTTTAATAGGAAACATGAATTTCAAGTATTCCAATTTAGAAACAAAAAGAGTTCATGAGAAATTAATCAAAAGTTCGTAATAAAATTATCACAAAAAATGACTCAGCAGAATTGGTAAGTAGTACAGCTTTCAGCTTTCAGTATGAAAAAGACTCACTTAACAGAGTATAGGTTTGCAGCAATATTGTCAGCTGCCTTGTCACGGGTCCATGTCTTGCCACCATTGGTAGTTCGCAGCAGAACCCCACTGCCCCCTGCTGCCCAAGCCTCTTCCTGCACAGTTAAATCATCTAATCATTTTTGCTTTTGCAAGTGAAATCATTCAGTTGAGACAGTCAGTTGATTAGAAATTCAGGAAAAAATCCTTTTATGCCTTGGTAGCTTCCTTCTCACATAAACATTCTTTTAAGTTATTTTTGGATAGACTAATGATTAGAAGCAGTTTAACACGTAACGTTATTACCTACAACTGCTGCTGCAATCTTGTGGAATTAGATATACAACTGAAATTCTCATGTTTAGTCTAACTGGTTACAACTGAAGGATAACCCAACATCAAGAATGCATACAAGAAAACAATAGTTACCGTTGAACGATAGCCAACATCAAGAATGCCAAAACCCCGACTTTGCACTGGAACTTCTTCAAACTCCTCAGTCAACTAAAATAACAGGAATTAAAATGCAAAAAAAGACAAGGTGGGGCTAATATCAGCCACAACTTAAAATCTTATAGAGACATAAAATTAAGAAAAACGTGCTACCAAACAAAACAGTTTTGCATTTGATTCCTCACCTCGGAAATTACAAAATGTAAGTTCTTTCTTTAACTGCTAGGACTTTTGGGGGAACTTGGAACAGACTCATATATGTCCTCTAAATACAAATCTGTTAATTTTGTAACATTATCTAGTCTATAAATCTACAGTATTTTGCAAAGTAAATATATGTCAAACAAGCTCATGAAAATAGAACTCCACATTTTACATTATGACAGTAGTAAACAACTAGATTTTTAATACAATAGTGGATACTCAAACCTTGAAATTGGAGGCAGATATGTGAAGTAATTGTGTTCAGAATGACGAACAAACAGCATAAGGAAAAATGGAATAGAAATATACTTTGTTGCTCATCCTAGAAAATTATGTAATATGCCCATCCACCTACATGACTGTCATAACTGTAAATTTTCTCATGGACGTGAACCATTCAAAAGAAGTCCTTAAGTAAATGTAGAGTGGTTTTAAGGGTTATAATGTTTATAAACTTCCCCTTCTGCATTCACCTAAGAAATGGATAATTTAGAAATTCTTGCTAATACCAACATCAGCATATATTAGAAATTTAGCATTACTTCTTGATTTACTAAAATGAAAAATATCCTCACAAGTACTTACCCCGGTGCCTTTGCTAAGATAAAGTCCTCCTCCACGGACAAGAAGCCAAAGACCACCATCAGCCCTCCATCCCATGTTCTGAATTCTTCTTGCAATAGCTCTGTTATGTGGCTGCCAGAATGCCTGGCAATTATAAAGTAATGAGTTTCAGTAAATAGTCACATATGACTGATTGAAATGCAAAACAAGAATTTATACCTGAACAAACTAACTACTGACCATGCATAATATGACGATGGAAAGAAAGGAAAAGGACAATGGCAAAAAAAAAGAGAAATTTTTTTTTTTGGTATTAAGCCCCCCGGTATCCGGAAGCCACAGTGGGCCCCGACTAATGCGGAGTTGACCTGCATTAAACCCCATAGGGTGGGAAGCTCTCCCAGCACCTGTCTCTCCATTCACAAGACTCAAACTCAAGACCTTGCTTAAAGGGAACTAAGCTCCTTTCACTCGGACCAACAGATTGTTGGTAAGAGAGAAAACTGTTAACTTCTAAACACACCAGTCAATGCAAAAGCTACTGCAATGTAGTCCATTGGGAATCAGAGAAAGACAGATGGATGTGTTCTCATATTTGTGTAAAGAATAATCCATTGTACTAACATAAACTTGAAGATTAGTTGGAGCGATATCATTCTAACATGAAAAAAGAAACCACGGTGATTGTGGTAATTATTTTCCACTTAATATCTAAGAGTAAGCATTCTGTTCTGTTCATGAGTTTAACAAATGTACCATAATGAACGTATCAGTGATTCAGTATAGGTACAGGTTCTGAAAGATTGTTTTACTTCATTTGCACTTAACCATTCTAAGTATCAGAAAATAACGTGTTAGGGTGCATATCATTCTAATTTGAGGTACAACTTGTACCTCTATAACAAATTATTTTTTGCTATTAAAAAAAAAAAAAAAACTTTATGTGTAGGTTCAAGTTCTAAAGGATTGTTTTACTTCACTTGCACTTAATCATTGTCAATATAAAATAGCATGTGTTAGGAAATTACTTACAATCGCAATAATACTTTAAAGCTAACTAATTGAGGATTAAAAGTCTACATCCGTGATTAAATGGATACTTTACTGTGCATACACAATGACTGAGGAGCTCAAAAGATGGGATAGCCTCAGGAAACTAATAACGGCTTGGTCCTAGTTTTGAGGAATGCAAGAAAACATTTGAGAGGAGGTCAAACCTGTCCGGGCTCCCATGTAAGATAAAAGTTCCCACGGCTTGAGACAGCTACATATCTTCCATCTGGAGAGCGATTCACAGTATTAAAAGTTCCTGTGTAATAGCTAGCACCACTAATACCGCTAGAAACTGTTCTGCAAAAGAAATAATGCTACATAAACAACATTTTTCATGTTCCCGATTAATAATCTTCCCTAGAGCATAGATGTTCATTCTAGTTCTGAATGAATCATTGAAGAAAGAATATGACAAAATCTAAATGCTTGCTTCTAATTGAAGTTCTTCAAGCTTGAAAGACCTCCTTGCTAATACATTTCTAGCATTACATTCTGTTCTAGACACTTTAAACTGCAAACCAGACACTGCTATTTTCATTTGCAATAGACATTCACCTTTACACTTGAGCTAGCATATAAGTTGACAACATAAGAAACCAATGGACTGGCTTGTTAGATGACATAGGCAAATTGAAAAAAAAAAAAATCAAGGGATGTACCAACTAAGACTAAAGACTACCAGCAAGAGCTTACCCAAGGTAGTTAAATGAATGATTGAAAAGGCTTATTCTGAAGAAACAGAGAGGTGCTGATCTAGACATTAGGAACAGAACTTGGAAAATATTTGAGATTTGCAGAATCAAAGATAGAAAAGCAACAAAATTTTATGAAACACATTTAAAAGAAAACATTACTGTAATATGACCTTATCACAATAAAACCCAAAAATGCTAGAACTCCCTGAAGATGAGCATTGAATAAGTGATCTATAGGTATCTTTTATCCTTCTACCAAAATCTAGTTTCCGTGTCAAATGGTTTCAACCAAATTGGGCAGACAGGTCCACAATAGTAAAGCTTCTCTCAACAACAATTGCAGGTATAAAATTCATTTTAAATAGAAGCACACCTATTTAGAGTAGCTGAGACAGTCTCCTGAACAGCTGCCCTCCAATTATAGCCATTATTTGACGTAACATAGATGGCACCTTGGTCAGTTACCATCTCTGCACTCTTTTCTCCAGTGGCCTTTATGTACACCTGCAGATGATTTAAATAAAGCACCAATTTTAAATAGCTAAAAAACTAAACTTCATCTCTTTCATCTTGCTTAATTGGTGGAAAGAACAAAGTTAATTTATTTACGTACTTACCATGTCTCCTGGAAGTTGAGCACTTAATGGTATTCTTTCCCAGGTTTCTCCAGCATCTGAAGTGTACAACAAAATTGCAGGTTTTCCAACAATCCATCCCTCCTTCCCCTTGAAGCTGATTGAGTTAAACCTGTAGTTGAAATCTTCATCCTCAGCTGAGGGTATTGAGCGAGCAACCCAAGTGTCTCCACCGTCTTTTGTTTCCAAAATTGTTTGCCTTGTCCCTAGGAGAAAACCTACCAAGCCAACAAAAATGTAGAATTTATATTGACTTTACCTGAGTCTTACAGGAAACCAGTACGCCTAGAATGAATGTTAACGCCACATTTTTAGGTGAGTTGAGAAAACAAGATATAAGCTGATGGTAGAAGCAAAAAATCTAAAAGTATGTAAGGATATAAAAATATGATAGGCAATTGAATTAGTGTAACAGAGCTACGTAGTGGTGAATATTTTTGATTCAAACTTCATTCAAATTCCAGAAAAGCCATATAAATTTCAATATCAAAAACTTTGCATTTAAATTTTAGAGTCTCAAATCCATGAAAAAAGCAGTATAAACCATCAATCTTGAGCTAAATGTAAAGTCAAATCAGTTAAGAATTCTTTAATTACTAAATTTTCCTCTTTTTTTTTTTTCCTTCAAAAATGTCTAATTCGGGCTGAATAAAACAAAAAACATGGCTTAAGTATCCCATTCCCACGGTTGTCAATTTTTCTCGCCATCCAAACAGAAGGAGAAATTAATCTAGTTAGTAAAAAAAAAGCGGACCGTGTTTCAAGTCATCAGGGACGAAAGCGATGTCAAGAAGAACGACACCAGGATCAATGGGGAGGTACACTCTCTCCCACTCAGAGAGGGCTTCCTCAGCATTAACAGGTTGTTGGACAGCGGAGAGAGTGGCTACAGTGATGGAAAGCGAGGCCGTTTGGGAAATAAACTGTCTCCGATTAACAGCTGGAGATAATGACGGTGAAGATTGCTGGTTCTCGTGATGATGATGGAGAGAAGCTCTGGCGACTAACCGCGGCTGTGATTGGACGTGGGAGACCGGCGGATGAAGAAGGCGACCAGGGACGAAGAGAGAGGCCAAGGACGGCTTTAGGTTAGAACAGTCGAGGAGTTGGAGATTGGCGGCCATTTGTGGTGGTGGCAAATGATGGAGCTGAGTTGAGTTTCTGTGGTCTTATCCAAATGCTGGTTATCAACGGCTACGCGGGCAATTTCTAGCGTCTCGATATATATATATTTTAACAAAAAAAAAAAAAAACTGTTTTACAGCACCAATTATGCTAAGTGATCCGGTAAAATTACTTACATATTTTTAAATTTATTTTTATATTATTTTTTAAAAAATATTTAATTAATTTTATAAGATACTACTTACCGTTCTTCCTGTGAAACAGTTCTCTGTTTTAACAAAGGAAAATTGTGGTGATGGAAAATAAACGAAGAATTGGTGGGGAACATGATCCACAGCAGTTCCTCACCTATATCAATATATTTTTTTACGACAGAAGATGGAATAATGTAGTAATAATAAATAAATTTTAATTATTTTATTTCAAGTTTCAAAAGTTAATAATGATATGGTATAATTTCAACATTGAAATTATTGAATTATTATTAATAAATAAATATAAGTAAGATTTTTATTTAAAATATTTTAATAATTTTAAAATTCAAACTACATTTTATTGTGTAATCTACTCTGAAAAATATTTTCTTTTTGGTTTAAAATATATATACTTTTCCTTATTGTGCCACATTCCACTAGAGTTTCTCCATATGAAGGGTTCTTTCTACAACAACTAGAGCTACAATCTGTCCCTAATTATAGGGCTCTTTCTTGTTTAAGGCATCTTCCTCGTCTCGTCTTCTCCTATCTTACTGTTTTTAGGCTTTTCCCTTGTTTTTCTTGGGTATTTGGTGCATTTTTGTCTTGTTCAATTAGTAACTGACACAATAGGGTGATGTGGTGGGGGGTTGGTTCTTATCTCTATAAGGGAGTGTGTTAAAAGCTAGTGTGTGGTGTTGGCCAAAGTCATGATAAGGGGCAAAATGCAAAGGCGGTTTTTGGACGAAGGGTGTCCTTTGGTTGCTGTGGGGTTATTGAGGCAGAGCATCTAGTCTATGAGGGTTAAGAAGGGTTGTGAGCTGGAAGGAATGTGTTTGAAAGCTGGGTTGTTCGAAAAAGTGGCTTTGGTGGTTAAGTTGCAGTTGATGAAGGCTATGTGTGGGGTGGGCGGTGCTATAAGGTCAATTTTTTTATACCATCTTTTGATACAATTTTTACATGTTATTAAATAAGTGGTTACATTCAATATTACGGTCCAACATAAATTAAAAGAACCAATAATTTAAATAACATGTCAAATTGTACCAAAAAGTGATACAAAAAAATTGTGTCAAAATCATTTTCCATGTGGGTTAGGGTTTGAAGGTTGAAGAAACATGTTGGGTTATTTATACTACAAACCACCCTTTCTTTGGGACTTTTGGTTTACTCAATTCTTTATTTGTTAATTCATGTCAATTTAGGTTCTTAAAAGTTGGTCTTGTGACATCTAGTCCCAAGTCTCAGACGGGTTTTTGCGTTTCTGTTGAGGTGCAAGCTATACCATTATAGTGCCATTTAAGCCCTAGTGTATTAGCCACCCAAAGCCTAGTTTTGTTTTCTTTTTTTTTTTTTTAGCTTAATGTGAGTGTTAGGAAATCAAACCTATAACATTATATTGAGAATTTTTCTCTTTGTAGTTAATTTGTACTATAACTAGTTTGTAAAGGATAGATTTTTAACCGTTTCAGGCACTGTCTAGGATACATTGTAAGCTCTTTAAGGCATGATGTGATCTGCATTATTTAATGCATGAAGTGATTTGTAGTGATATATACTTATAATTTTCATAAAAAAAATTAATAATGGACATAATTAGCTTTATTGTATGAAATTTTTTTAATTAAACTTCTATTATAAAGCAATTTGATAGCGTGATTTGTCCTTTGAATATAAAAGGTTCAGATTTTTATTTTTGCCAATATTCTCTTTATTGATTAAATGAACTATCTTATTAATTTCAAATTAACTTTATTTATTTCAAATTATCTGGCTTTTTTTTACTAAATGAACGATTTTATTTTGAATTTAACCCCATATTACTTTAATTAATGTTAATTTTAATTTATTTTTGCTTTATCATCTTACACATGAACAATGCATACCATCCCTATATGTAATTATGTAATGTATGAATGTCTTAAAATTTGGCGTTAAAAATTTTCAGATTAAAAAGGGAAGAAAATATACTCCATATGGATTTAAAATGGTAAGCATTCTTATAAAATTAAACATTATACACTAAGAACCTATTTGGTTTAAGAAGAGGAAGGATATTGTTATCCTTCTCCATTTACCCTTCTCGGTTCCACTTCCTTTTTCTCATTTGGATATATTAAAATTCAAAAAGAAAATTAGAGCAGGAGAAGCCCTTTCCCTCCCTCTCCTCTCCTCTCCTCTCCTCTGTTTTTTATGTTCATATAAGGAATATTCTTCTCCCTTTCCCTTCAAACCCTTCAAACTAAACGACATAGGAAAGTAAAACTTTTTATTGATTATAAAAAGTTAATTTCTAGCTACTCCTCAGTGGAGGGCTTTTGGCAAAACAATAAGTTTTTTCTTCTTTTGTTTAAACTTTAAGAATTGGGGATATTCGGAGAAAGGGAATTGAATAGATCCGTGATGATTTGGGTGGGGAGAGGGGCGACTACTCTCCACTGACTTTACCTTAGGATCTCTTAATGTGTGTAAGTTTAGTTATAATGAAAGAGAAATAAAAACCCTCTTATTAAAAAATAATTTACACAAGGTTGTAAAATAAAGAAATAAACAAGTAGAAGAAGTATGAAACAGAGATATAAAGAAGGGTAAAGATACCATGAAGAGTTCTTATTCTTCTTCCTTTTTCCGTATCCCTACCATACAATAATAATCCCTATATATAAGGTACTAGAGTGGTAGGAGTTATAAGAATTATAAGAGTTACAATACAAGTGTTAATCACAACTAAATAGGAATAGTTAATCACCATTAAATAAGAATAAAACATATGCTTGAGAAAGTGGGTGTTAATGGGATGTATAAATGCATGAAATTATGGGATGTTAATTACTATCATAATTACATAGAAGAAGTGGGAGGTGAGGAAGATAAAGAGTTGACGGAAACTTATGTGATACAAGAAAGAGTATTTAGAGTTTGGATATATGATTTACTTACTTTTATTGTGTTATTAGAAGGATTCAACAATTAATTTTACAAAATTTTAAACTTTTAATTCATATCAACTAAGTCGAGAATCTTGAAATAAAGCATTTCAAGTTATTTGCTGCTTTTTCGCACCTAGGTCTTACGGTCCAACGGCTATAAACTGGGTCCCAACCCTTCAAATCCCCTTGCTCCAAATGTAAACCCATTTAAAAAAACAAAAAAAAGTTATTTACTGCTTTACCAATATTCAGCTCCCTATGATGCTAAAAACACAATTTCTTTAAATTAAGGATCAATAAATTCTAGTGTGAAAATATCAATAGTCAATCATTCGAGATATCTAATCTATCTATCTATATATCTATATATATATATATATATATAAAATGCTACCCTATGCATTAAATAGGGTAAGCATTTTATATATACCTTTTGTTTTTATTCAAGGGACGTTGTTACATTTTCTTGAACAATTATTTTTTTCAAAATTCATGACTGCAAGATAAACAATAAATTATGATTATTATGATATGTAATAAATTTATTAATAAAAAATAACTGAAAATAATTTAAATAAATGATATATTAATTGTTAATTATTAATATCTATCTATATATATTTATATGCTCAGCCCAATCCAAATTCTTCCTTCCTTGGCACCCTCAACACCTTGTCCTGAGCACACATCCAGGTGGCGCCGAATGTTAGAGAATAAACTAAGCCCCGACTTTGACGCTCACATTTTGAGAAATGGACGCATCGTTGCCCAGCTTTATCGCATGAGCCCCACGAAGGATTGCAAAGTAAAACCCATTAGGCTGCGGCCCGCCTGAGACGTACTTCACTAAGCCCGAGACTTCCCACTTCAAGAGTGTACTTTCCTTGGATAATTGTTTTCTTGAGGTCTTAATTTTTGGGTGCTCACTCATAGTTACCACTTTTTAGAAGTCCTGGCAAAGAGAAGGCAAGGAACTTGAAAAATCACTCAACTGAGGGAATAAAACACCTGAAACCAAACTCTGATCTCTCATTCATTGGCGCAATAATTTTATGTTTAGCAAAAAAAACTTTTTTTTTTTACGAATTCCCACCCCCCAACCCCCTCTATTTTTTTTTTTTAAATGTTTTTAGGCTTCTTTAGAATGTGGTGAATTTGGGTTTTACTTTGTGAATAT